TGAATGGATGGGTGGATGGAGCTGGGGCTGGACGAATGGGCGGCTGGTATAGGGAGAATAGCATGGCCTTGGCGTGGCTGGTTGCATTTCGAAATGCAGCTGGGCGTTGACTCATAGGTTCGGGCTTGATTTTGATTCCCCAGAGACATGCACCTGCTATACATTCGTGCTGTAATGATAATTCATTTTCTCAGAGAGAAAAAGGCCAGCATGGCGTGGGGTCGCACCCCAAGAGCCAAAAAAAAAAAAAAAAAAAAAAAAGGCCGGAGCACTAACAGGCACGGCATGGGGTCCTCACGCCATCGATTGTGTAATAGGCGTACGACGGTTACGACAGGAACGTGCCACAAAAAGGAGGGGTGGGAAAACGGATGACGGGAAACGAGGAGAGACGCTGGCTGGGCCTTTGAAGCTGTAACTTTGTTGCCAGAACCTGTGAGAGCAAGCCACATCGGGGAGACGGGAAGATGGTGACACGGATACGTTTGTGGAGGTGGGTAAGCTTTGCGCAACATGTGCCAGCCTTATCTTGATATTGGACGCGGCGAGGATGAGGGTGTGTGTGTGTTTTGCGAGATGATGCAGCCAATACGGCACAGAGCTCAATGCCCAGTTCCAGACCGACCGACACACGGCTGACGAGACGAGATAGACGGTGAATAAAGCTGCGGCAATGAGATGGATGAGAGATGAATGACGAACCGTACCTACATGTACCCGCCATGACATGTCGCTTTGTGTGCTCGGACTCATTCACAAACAGTAACACCCAAGATACAAACACCCACTTGCTCCAGCAGTCATCAACTTATAATAAGACACGGCGACAAGACCAAGTTGACACAGGGCGAAACAGGGCGGAACAAGGGGCGAAGCGAGGTGCAGTACGGTAAACGCAGAGACTCTTTCTACTAAGCCATGGATCAAAAGGCACATAGGCCTTTGCTGCATGTTAAAGCAGCGGCCGATGGGTCTCGGGGCAAGGTGTAAATGGTAATGTAATGTAATGTAATGTAATGTAATACAGAGTACATGCATATCATTCGCGCGGTGCCTCTGCGGCCAATGAATCTCACGGCTGGGCAGCGTCTTGGCCCGCCATTTGCTGCTTTGCTTGCCAGCGAAGGGCGACGGATCGGAATAGCGGCCGTGTCTGGACGGGCCTGGTCTGGTCCATTGCTGTAGGGCAGATAGATAGATACCTGGTAGGTGTAGATGGGTAAGGCAGGCCTAGATACTGCAAGATAAAGACCAAATGGGACTGGGCTTTTTCCGTGCCTCGGGATTGCAGTAGTGCCATCATCATCCAGCAATTCTGCTGTAGCCATAGATATGAAACTTGCTGCTCTAGTGTCACAGCACAGCAAAGCAAAGCAAAGCAAAGCAAAGCATGGCATCGCATGGCATAGCATAGCATTAGCATAACACGGCTTATTACATACCTACCTTAATCTTACGGAGGTCCCGGGCATTGATGCTCATCCTCGCCAGCATCATATCGGGCTGCAACAAGACAAGAAACGGCCCGGCTCGGCAGTGACCAGCCCAGCCTCATCCATTTCTCTGTCGCGACGGTACTCCGTACTCCGTATAGGACTCTACAGGGCAATGCCCGGTATAGCAGGTCGATGGAAGTGCTTGCTACTGCTACCAGGTGCTAGGATGATTATCGCGCCTGGCACGCAGCCTTTGCCGGCTTGGGGAGGAGTGCGCACAGTAGTCCCGATGCTTGGCTACCAGATGGAACCTGAGTGATTTTATCCGGGCGGCTGAGCCAGTCAGTGCTAGCAGTAGCAGCGAGCCAGCCAGAGAGATGAAACGAAGCCCAGCAAACACACCGACAGTTGACGGGACTTGGGTTGGGACGCTGATGAGCGGCGGCCCGGCGGTCCATTGGCAGTACGGAGTAGGTACCTAAGGTTGGAACTTGAAGTTGTCTGTTGGTTTGCTTGTACTCGTACCCATGTAGCCTGCGGCTTTGGGCATGTACTTGCGCACCGCAGCGGCCGAGAGCAGGTACCGTCTCATGCCCAACCGGTACCTGGATTCCCAAGGTAAAGAGGTGTACGAGTACTACCTCTCTACCTGTATAGAACCTAGCTGGTCGTGGTACAGTTAGCACAGTAGCATCATAACTCGTACCGAAAAGCTGCTAAGCATGGATGGGCGAAACTTGTTTGGCAATTTCCATTTGCTTGTGACGGCCACGTTGCTCCTCCGAGCTTTGAGCGAAAGTACGAGTACATGTACCCGGTACTCCATATTTCCTCGGAGGCGACAGGCATGTCCCAGCGCTTGGCTACCGGCCCGAGACTTGATGGGCAATTGCTTTTGCTTGCATGGAGCAGGTACCGACGGGGTAATCTGGACCAAGGTACGGAGCAGGTGCAGCCGTAGCTCGATGTTTCTGATACACAAGCTGCAGCAGTAGCCATCGTACCTAGGTACCTGTCGTATCGTATCGTGTCGTGTCGTGTCGTGCCTTCCCCTCTGCTGTGCTGTGCTGTGCTGTACTTGTACTTCGTGCTGTGTTCACCCCCTCCATTTGCGCTTGGGCTGGGCTGGGATTTGCTCTTGCCAGCTGTGAATTTGTTTGTCAAGTTCCGTATTATTACTTTTTTTTGCATGGACGGTACTTGTTTGTCCCCACCAAAAAGGCTGGAGGAAGGAGAGAACACAAGCACCAGAAAAAGGAAAGGGAAGGGCAAAAAAAAAAAAAAAAACAAGTACACACCACCCCTCCTTTTTGCGCGCGCTGTTCTCTGCGCTGCCCGCCATAACGGAGCACCGTACCGTACCGTAGACGAAAGAAAAAAAGAAAGAAGAGGAAAAAAAAAATCAATTCCCGTTTCGTGCTATCTCGGCTTATCCTGCCACCCCAAAACAAAAAATTCACACCACCCCAGAAGTCTGCTCCTATTGCTGTCTGCATCCTGTCTGCCTAACCTCCTCTGACTCTCTCTCACCTCCTCTTCTCCTCTTCTCTTTTTCTTTTCCCCCCCCCCTCTTCTTCTTCTTCTTCTTTTTCTTCTTCTCCTCACCATGTCCGCCTCCTCTGAGCCCCAGGACATCACCACCTCCTCCTCCACAAGCCAAGATGCCTCGGGACGACAGCCCTCCGCCGCCTCCTCCGCCGCCGCCCAACTCGCCGGTGCACAGATAAGCCTGCGCAAGACGCTGCGCGAGTTCCCCGACTTCCCCATCCCGGGGATTGACTTCGTCGACATCATGCCCCTCTTCGCCAACCCGGATGCCCATGCCACCCTGCTGTCCGCCCTCGAGCTGCAAATCTCCCAGTCCTTTGGCGACAGCAAGCCCGATGTCATTGTCGGCCTCGACGCCCGTGGCTTCCTCTTCGGCCCCGGTCTGGCTCTGCGCCTCGGCGTTGGCTTTGCCGCTGTCAGGAAGCAGGGCAAGCTGCCCGGCCCTTGCGTCACTGCCGAGTATGTCAAGGAGTACGGCAAGGACCTGTTCCAGATGCAGCAGGACGCCATCAAGGAGGGACAGAAGGTGTTGATTGTTGACGATATCATTGCGACGGGTAAGTTTGATGATGCATGATTCCACCCATGATCCTGTCCACAATCACATTGCACGATTCCACATCCCATGATTTGAACCCATTGACACCCATTGTGCGCCCATCGCCAATCCTTTACCTACCTCGGCACATCTCCCGCAGATATCAAGATGCTAACTCGCACACAGGTGGCTCGGCGGCAGCGGCGGCGGATCTTGTTCACCAGCTCAAGGGTCAGGTCATTGGTTACCTTTTCATTCTCGAGATTCCTGGCCTCAACGGCCGCGAGAAGCTCAGCGCTCCTACTACTATCCTCATTGAGAACCCATAAATCCTTCTCGAGAAAAAGCCCTCATGTCCTATTCTCTCCATAAGCGGCGCCATTCATCCCACATAAGACGACATGATTGGAAAGCAATTTTCTTAACACCACTAGCCCTAGTCGATCAGAAGCGTTCTCCTCGGACGAAACATTCCCATCTTCTCGATGCCCTTTTTCTTTTTCACATCGACTCGAAGCGCAAAGACGGACGATTCTTCTCGTGCTGGAGGGACTGTGATATTGACTCCTGTGGTCCTCCTTATCGGCACGCTTTTTATATGCATCAAAAGTTGTTTGCTTGGATTTTTTCCTTGAACCTTTTTCCTAAAAATCATCTTATATATATCTCCTTGACATTTTTTTATCTTTTTTTTTTCCAATATGGGGGTTTCTTTCGCAAATTACAATCAAAAAACCAATAGACTATGGAAAGCGTTTCTTCTCTCATCGGGAATGGCGACTGGATGACGTGCTCTGTCCTCATTCCTACTTATACGTTTTATATATTTATATGACATAGACCACCTTGCTCTTGCCAAGGACTTTACGGAGGGGGAAACAAAGGAAATCGAACCTTCGACTATGACGAAGATGAAAGCTGGGTTACGGAGAAGACGAAGAAAAAAAAGACGTTGGGATGGAAAAATTGTTGGGATCAAGGTGGGCATATTTAATAATCACGGCTAGGGACTTTGTGCAATGAAACTCATCTCCTTTGCTTTTTATTTTACGTGTATAAAAGTGCTCCCACATGGCTCCGAGCTGATTCACATAATGACATCGGTAGTTGCATTCATCAGTGTCGCTTCTTGACTGGTGGCAGCACGTTGATGTTTGACTAGTGGATGCCACCCTGGAGAGGCTCGGTGCTAGTACGTTGATGTTTCATTTCATTCTATAGATTCGGGGATGGTCAACGTCGTCAACGTGTTCAAATGCTTTTTCATCATGTCGTTATATTCTATCTAATTCATTCAGGGATGCCCCATTTTCCAGATGACAAACTCCGCAAACTCCTCCTCCTCCTCGAGTTGATTCTCTGCAACGCTCATGCCCATCTATGCAAAAATGCTGATATATGCGTGTCATATGTGACTGTTCCTCTTATATATATATGTAAATAGGCATGTTATGTATTGTATATGCCAAAATGTTGCCTCACAAGACGGCGGCATTCTCCACAACGAGCCCCTGGCTCTCGACCCGATACTTTCTCCTCATGCCTACCCCCGTGGCCCTGCCAAAGCGCTCGTAGTCGCCCTGGTCGGCCCTCATGAGGACCATGGGAATGCCGTGTAGGCGCTTCATGCCCTTTGGCGTGGTCTGCTGCCTATCGAGCAGCGGCCGAGGGAGGTCCCCCCTATCGCGGACCACGCCGTCGTCGTCGTCTTCGTCGGCGCCATCCGAGCTCGTCGGCGGCTCGTCGAGGATGATGACCAGCTGCAGCGACTTCTCGTGGGGCGAGAAGCTCGGGATGTTGTCCAGCTTGCGGCTGAAGGAGCAGCCTCCGCGGCGCATGACGATGACCTGATGCTCGCGCGGCGCGGTGGCAGGGAGGGGTCCGTCGCAGGCCTGATCCGCGAGATACACGGTCGACCAGGGGAAGTTGAAGGCCGGGTATTTCGCGTTGTAAAACGGGTTGCCGGCGATGGGGGTGTCCGGGATGGACGGCATGGGAAACGCGCCGGGGCCGGTCGACGTGTATGCGTCGTAGCTGTATATCTTGGCGGTGCCGTCGCTGGCGTCTGACGCCGGGATGGCTGTGTAGACGGGTTCGAAGACGGAGGACACAGCGCGGAGTAGTGATTGAAACAACGAGTTCGAGGCCAGATTTTCCGCATTCATCGTGTCGTTGTCCATCATTTCATCCATCTCCTCGTCGAGTAATTCTTCGGACAAGCCAAGCGTGCTGTTGCCAATGTCTGGCTTGTCCACGAGCAGCTCAATCTCCACCGCGTCTTTCCTTCTCCTGCAGGAGAACACCTCGTCCTTGAGATGCTTGATGTGTTCGGCGTGAAAGAAGACGGTTTCATAGCGCCCCAGCTGAGTATTGCCAATGTGCGTAATCCTCCACTTGTAATCCCCCGAGGCCTGGTCCAACACTTGCTCGAGCTGGAGTCTCAATCCCTCTAGCATGTTGACCGTCGGTCCTAAATGCGTCTGCCACGAAAGGTGCGTGCCGAACCGCGAAGCTATGCCGCTGGTAAGATCATTGGCCGGAAACTCTATCAGCGATATGATGCGCTCGGGAGGAGCAACGCATGTTCCGTTCTCGGGCAACATGCTCGGCGGAAGAGTCCACGGGAAGATAGTGTGGTTGGAAGTGGCCCTGTATCCGACCACTCGTCCCTTCTTCTTGTCACGCATCTCAACCATCTCCAGAGGGCCATGGACGTTAGGCGTCCTATATAAATCTGTGAACCGAGAAACGGCAAACAAGTCCGGCCTGGCTGCAGTGGCTGAACTCATCAGATGGTGCTCCAGAGGCGCTGCTGGCGCAGGGCAAGAGTTTGTGAATGTTTCATCATAATAGGTATAGACTGCGACATCTTTGTTCTTCTTCAATTTACGAGCATTCTCTCGGATAGGACTCCCTCGCTTGTTTTTTGGTATAATAAGCGGATGGCCTTCTGTGGTAAAGACATAGGCGGCATCCATGTTGTTTAGCGGGTGATCTGGATCGAACAGCAGGTACATGTACTTTGCCGTTTCTCCCAAAAAGAAGCTCTCCATGCGATCTTGCTTCTCGCCCGTCTGAACATCCTGAAGCCCGGCCCAGCCGCATTCAGCGTAGCAGCGGCGCATGATGTCGCGGAGGACCATCTCGCCGACATGAAGATACCAAGGATCCCTGGTAGCACGGTAAATGTGGTACGTGGACTCGATAAACTCAGGTCTTCCAGGCCACCAACCGATGCCTGCCTCAACATTACCCTCGCGAACTGACCAGCGCTCAGGCAATGCGGAATACCGAGTCCACAGGGCCGTGTAGACAAGGTTCGCCTCGATAGCTTCCTCAACCTCGCCCGCCAAAGCCAGAAGCCCCGGATAGAAGGCACCCAGACTATCGATCCACATGGCGTAGGGCTGACCCGTGGCACGATGGTTGTTTGAATAATAGGGGAAATGGCTCCTGTCGGTGTACAAGTACCGCTTGACCGACGCGTGAGCTTGGTGCCATGCTTGGAGAAAGGCATCTGACGTCTGCATCTCAGCCGGCAGAGGGGGGTGAAGAGAGTTTGGATCCAACCAGCTGGTCGTACTCTGTCTGCGAGATGTGGAAGCATTAGGCATGCCAAGGCCAGAGAGAAGGATGTGGCTCTTGAGCGCATATTCAAAGAAACTGTCCATGCCTGCACCGATACCTGCATGGGGCCCAATCCACAGCCCTCGTTCGGCGTCGATGCCGTTACCGATCAGGCCGATTTCGCTCCTGCGATGCCACACTTCCCAGAAGGCTCGTTTGGCGGCTTGTTCGAACCGAGGGTCCCCCGTGAGTCTGCTCAAGACGGTAAACTCAAGAACCAGGCTCCCAGCGCCAGCACTACAGGTCTCGGTAATCTCTGGACGGCCGCTTTGCTCCTCCATTGCCTCGGCCAGGTTTTGATTGAGAGGAGAGTTGACGTAAAAGGGGATGCCGGTGCGGAGATTGACCCGAGGATATGGGATACCCGTTGGGGTATAAAAAGCAGGAAGCAGTCGTTCGGAAAGATCGAGGGCAAGTCTTAGCAGCTGGCCGTCGTACTTGAATCCATTTGGCCACGAGATGGGAGGCAGCTCCAGGGGGTCATTGCCTGCGATCCCCTCCGGCTTCGGGTTGTATCCGGTAATGGGTAGCTCCCCGATGGCAAACAAGTGCGCGCTCAGGAGACCGCCCACGCCACGGATGACCGTCTCGAACACCTGGACTTTGCTGTCTAGGTCGAAGCCTCTAGCACGTATCCCAGCACCAGAAGGTCCTCCTCTGCCATCTCCGTAGTGGCGCACAAACTCGGCCACGCCATCTTGAAAATCGCTCAGAGCCTGTGGTCCAGTGTATGAGCCCGTCTGCGGCCCACCAGCCAGAATGGCAAGCGTGGAGAGGCTGTCTATCAGAGTCAGGGAGTAGTTGCCAAGGGCGTCGTTCAAGTTGATTCGCCCGGGATTGTCTCGATCTCGCGTCAGGGGAGCACACGATATTGGACGCAGCTAGATGATTTACAAAAGAGAGCATACTGGTCAGCTCTTTTGCTATCTACACGACGTCTGATGTGATGACAAATAACCCACCTCGTCCTCGGGAAAGGCATGCTCCATATAGCTGCTATACCCGTGATAGAACATGTCCACCGTGTCCTGCCGCAGCTGGGCCAGATAGTCCGAGCGCATGGCGCCGACCGGCCACAGCAGCGAGCAGGCCAGCCATAGCAACGCGACCATCGGCAGCGTCATGTCGGGCCGCGTTGCGGGAGCGGGAACTGGTGAGGCGGCCGCAGAACCGTTCGGACAAGGCTGGCGCTGGCACGTGCCAGGCGACTCATTGGGGGGGAGAGGCGACGGAGAGAGGCGGCAGCATCAGTAGCCTCTGGACTGGACTGGACTGGACGGCTCGCACGGGCACGGACTCGCGGGATTTGCCCTTTGAAAGTCGTCAAACGCAACCGGCGCTGTTCGTCGACCGGCTTGAGCGCCATGTGGTGTCTGTCATCTTTTGCGTGGCGCCACAGCGAATCGGAGGCAGGACGAGGACAAGTCGTGGCTGGTGCGCAAGTGTGGCTGGTGCATCTCTGCGTAGGGCTGCTTATCAAATCGCCGCTGTAGATGCTTCGTTTGCGTCCTCACATCAACAACAATCTCATGCGAGCTTCAAGAAACAATCATCGGCATGTCTTCCCGGTGCCATCTCCCCGGAATGTTACATTACCCGACGGCGATACTGCAGTATCGAGACATTGACGATCCTTTGGCGACAATCTAGGCAATATAGCACTGAGTCACTCAGCGAGAGATGCAGGATCGCCAGAGTTTCTTGTTACATGATAACGGATGTGGCATTGTCCACGCATATTCGCCAGCCGGCTTCTGTTGCCGTAGTACGAGTATGCTCCTCCGGAGTACAATTCCTATCGGATAGTGAACTTTGTTCGACCACGGCGAGGCGAATTGGACTGACCCAACAGCTGCGGATCTACCATCCCCAGGTGGCGGTACTTGTGCCCGGTTCTTGGTGTAAATGCTGTATTGGGCATTTCCGCTGAGCAGCTCTCTCCAGATGCTATACCTCACTTGCTTCACTGCCTGCAAAGGATTCATTGAAGCACGACCAACACGGCCAACAGGGGCCGAATCGCACACCTCCACGCAGGGATCACAGCCCTGCTCGCAAACGGGGAGTGTGAAACTGAAACTGGATCTGGAGGATCATCTCAAGAGTGTGTAACACGAGCGCTAAGCCATCCATCCACGGGCGTCTAACTCTGCGCCAGCACACAGCGTCTGCGCATGGAGGAAGCTGTAAAGGACTCGCCAGTGGTCTCACGACGATAACCGCGCTGAATAAATGTCCCATTGGGTGCGCATCGTCTCATGATTGTGCGTGTTGGTTACAACAGGCCGAATAACACGCGGTCCATCTCCATTAGATGTCCGAGAGCAACGTATATCGTATCAGCACGTTCGAGTAGGTATCCGTCAGAAACTGGAAACGCCAGAGTACATTGGCAGGCAAATTTGCCCAGAAAATTGCATGGGATTGGCCAAAATCTGACTCGAGCTGCGAGAGCAGACGAGCAAGCAGGGATCAGAGCTCTGCTTCTAGCATCGAGACTGCCCATCCATGATGCCCACGGGCGTGTCTATAGCACAACGCAGCTCAGCTCAGCAGATGAATCCTTACGAGTAGTTGCGTGAGCTGTATGTACTCCCTTGAATCACCTTGCTAGCGAGCCCATCCCTCTCAAGCTAAGCCCACAAGTAGAGCGTATCAAGCAGGGCATGCATGGCAAGCAACAAGAACACGGAGCTCAAGTAGCGACACGCAGGTTCCCCCCACACAGCTGAGAGAATCACGGCAAAGAAACATCAAGTTTTTTCCCCTTCTCTTTTCCCTTTCTCCTCGGCGCTAATTCGAGCCCAGAACCCTGCGAGGCTTTTCGTTCGTTTCCGCATCTCCCCCCCGGTCACGAACTGCTGCTAATGCTGATGGGCAAATCCGCCATCTCCCCGGCCTCCCATCCCCACTGCGCTAGGAAATAGAACAAAGAACAAGCCCATGTGTTTTGTCCGGGTTGAGCTGCTCGTACGTGTACATGGAGATTAGATTTTCAAGGGCAAGGCAAAATCCACGCGGACTTTTGGTCGGTTTATCTGCCCACGAGGCTTCTGGGATTTGAGACGCTGCCGTAGTTCGTCCGAAGTGCGAGGCTCACTCCGGCTGCCATTTGTGCTTGCATGGGATGGCGGTTCAATTGGCCAGGTACGGTAGACGGTACGGCATGTCATGAATGTGTGGAATAGGGCTAAGCCGTCAGCATCAGCTTCTGGAAGGCTGAAATGGCGCTGAATTGTTTCGCTTTTCTGCTTGGACGGATTGGTGGAATTTGCTATACAAGCGTATGAATCGGGTCGCGAGAACGGGCCTGGCGATGCGCAACACTGCCCATCCGAAATGCATCTCCAGGCGCTGCCGACTCCGCCTTTGAGTTTGCCTTTTGGGGCCCTTTTCCCATAGGAAGCGAGAGACGGAGGAAGAGAGTGTTGGTTGAGCCGGTGGATGCTGCGCGTTTCTGATCTAAGTCGTTGTCGCAGCACGGCGTCACCCCGTGCCTCTTCTTTGCAAATACAGCAGCAAGCCATCATCTTGGCACTCCGCAAACGGTGTTTGGGCATACAAGTATCACAGCAAACCTGGCTAGGTGCGAGTACTCGTACAGATACAGGCCAAAATAAACCAACTAACCCGCCGGATGCCTCTCCCCGTTCGCCCTAGCTCGCAGCAGGTCCAAAAGGCTTCCACGCATCATTCTTCCATGGCACGGCTCTGGACTAGGAGATTATCTTTGGTGCTAGCATCTCACACTAGGCACAGCCGGTCAAACTGTTCGCGCCATCGCTGTGCTTCTGGCTTGCTAGCTGGCCGCTGTCTTGTGCCCGAGGCCGGCGCGAAGAGCCCAATCTGAACAAGCACAAGGTGTCCTCGCCTCGCTCGCCCCAAAGAGTCGAGAGTCGAGATTAGCGCCACAGTCCGCCGTATTGAAGATCCGTACTGTGAGTACTTGTGTTCCCTTGGCTAGTTTGAAGCCCGTTAGGGGATCAAGTCTCATCTCACAATGGGGCGCCAGCAAGGGGGGGGGTCGGAAGGCTGATCATCCAGAGCACTCGTACTCGTCCAAGCAATCGCCATTCTATCCCCGACTCAGGCTAGACGATGGAAATGATGGCATGGCAAGGCAAGGCTAGAGCCCTTGCCCGCAGAAAAGGCGCCAGTTTTTTTCTTCGTCTTCCGCGACAAGCTTCATTCGCGCAAGGGATCGGATGCCTGCCCTGCCTGGGCCCTGCCGAAGAGGGATGGATCTGTATCTGTACGTCGACCGATCGAGCATGAGCCCGCCAACGGACACGTTCCGCTCGCCTACGGATATCGTCGTCCCTCTGTTCTATTTTTTCCTTCTTCCATGATCATCCAGGCCAGGGGTCGTACTACCGATACTCCATTTTCGTACATTGTCCTTGGCCTTGCTTGTGTGTCCGGAGCAAGCCCCCCCTTCCCTTCCCTCGTTGAATTGCGACACACACCCGTCCATCCATTGTGGTACAGAATCCTCCCTTCTTTGGCAATCGCCGATGCTCTTCTTGTTTCTGGGTGTGGATCTGGCGAGACGAACGACATTCGGGCGTCTCCAGATCACATGGCTGATAGGCCATGTAGCCTTCTCGAAAGGGTGGTGGAGAAAACGACTTGGGTTAAAATAAAACGGAAAAGAAGAGAAACGAGAGATTGTGTGATTTGCACCGAGACGCTCGTGGCGCCCACGCCCAGGTCCCGGTCTGCCGCGTCGCCTCTCCAACGCACACCCTCGACTCGGCTCTTTTACTCTTTTACTTGCCAGGCGAGGGCTAGACTCTGTACATACAGCTTTTACAGATGGCTTCCATCCCGTATGGCTCAAGGGCATACATACACGACCCGCAGAGTGGATTTGCGCAGATGACTTGTATTGTGTTGTTATTGTCATGCAGCCTTGTGCGCTAAAGTACAGAGAGATGGAGAGATGGAGAGAGAATATCGGACAAGCCGCGACCTTTCGGATCGACTAGAACTGAACGGCGATGAATCAAGCAAGTAGCAAAGCTTTCCAGATTCCGACGTTGCATCTGAGTACAGATGGTGCTCCGGGCTTCCCAACTCCGTCTTTGTCAAGCGTCTAGACTCTTGTGCCGTGCAATCAAGCTCGGCCGGTGACAGACGTTGAAGCACGTTGTTGGCTTTTTTTGACAGCTCCCCTTGTTTTATGGGGGTTTGGTGATCATCTTGTGGGGAAGAGAAAGGGCTAATACTAGATGCTTTCCGCTTCTTCTCGCTCCGAAGCATGTCCATGTACATCAACGGCCTTGGGGGTGCTACCTTAGTACTAACTTCAAGTTACTACGTGTACTTGAATCTCACCCCCCTTTTCTCCGGCCGGATGCTTCTCTCCCCGAAGTCCCTTTGATAGCGGCAACGGCAACGGCACCAAGTTGTTCGAGTCATGGACGGCACTCTGCGCCTTGCAACTGATCAACGACGGGGACAACTTTTGATCTAATTTCTGTCCCCGTCTAGTTACACCGAACCGAACCGGCGTAAACGGAGCAACATGCAACTAATACTACTACAGCCACGGAAAAAAAATAAAAAAAAAATAAAGCCACTAATAACAGCCCTCGCTCGTCTCTGTCGAAGCGAATTGCAAATCATGAACTGGGCTAAAATCGGATCCGCAATGCGGTGAAGTGACGGGTGATGGACAACAAGCCTGGCGTTTAGGGCCGGTATCGACCTAGCGCTGTGCGTAGTGAAACACACGGAAGGCCCAGGGCTCTTTTTTTCCCGAATCGCAAGAGTTGGCGAGGCTTGTTGAGACGTTCGAAATCGTCAATTGTCCTTTCTAATCTTCTTCTTCTTGGGACGGAAGCCGTCGTGGGTCTTCTTTTCCAAGTGGGAGTCGGGATTCTCCAAGGGGGGCGCTTGGAATCCATGTCATTGATTTTACCTCCTTGTATCTCGTGAGCGTGCTCGACGTCATTTGCCCCGACACTCGCAGTGGAGATGCCTGGAAGTGAAAAAACCACCGTCAAGCTCGTCCGAAGGGAGAAGCAGAATGTGGCCGCTAAATGTCTCACGCCTCTTTACCGTGTCAACCCCCGAAGGGGGAGAGGGGCCGTTGAATAGAAGGCTCTCAGTTTCGTCTGTCTTTTTCATAGATATCGTTTCCCATCAATGGAGCCTTGCTGAAGAAAAGATATCAATTGTTCTCCTTTTTGATAACGCAAAGAGCCACGCCTCAAACGTCCGCCCGGCCCTGACCCTTTTTTCCCATTCCCACGTGGCCCTCATCGAAACGAAGCCGCCACACGTTGTCAACACTAAACTAAGACTCTTTTTCTTATGAGCTCACCCTTCAGGCCTCCCTCAAGCCACTGATTGTTTATTCCTCCTCCATGAAAGTGGCTACAGTGTGTTTTCTCCTTTCTCCCTCATTTTTTTTCAGCCCGAGCCGGACCAAGTTTCCCCCCAACCCCCTAGCGTGCAAACGATTCTCCCGCTAGAAAGCGCCCATTGCTTGGGGGGCTTTCAAAAGGCAAAAGCGGAGGTCTCGGAGCAACTCTGAAGGCTTGTAATGCCTCGTCTTCATGGAACTAGATTGCTTCTTTTTACAGTAGGGGCGTGCGGGAAGGAAAAAGAGACAATGGATCACGGATCTTGCTTGATTCTAGCCCCCCCATTTCAGGATTGTATGTCCGAGAATGGATTCAACAGTTCGTCTGGTCTGGTTCTGGCGGGAAGCCGACGCCGGATAGGCCTACACCGTTTGATCTTGTCAAATTCAAGGCGTACTATAGGTGAAAAGCCTCCTCGGCCATAGTGATGATCCAGACAAAACGCTACATGTACTGTAACATTACATCTCGAGTCGACCAAAACATAGCCCACTCAGCCTTGTGGAAATACTAGCGGACAGTTCGTTCTGTCGTGATCAAGGGGGAGAAGACTAAATCTAGGCACCGCGTTGGGTCCTCAACGCCTCACCTGCATATCGCGTTGTGGCGACTTCCTTCAACAGCGCTGGCGATCCGCGATGATTATCCAAGTCAAGAAAGGGGTGTGTGTGTCGAGCATCATTATTCGTCAAGCAAGCATACCTTGCAAGAAGTACTACATCATACGAGTTTCTAAAGCAAAGCACCTTTGCAAGGCCAGGGTAACACAAGTGACCAAGAAATTCCCGTCTCGGCACATGAACGCCTCCCCCCCCCCAACAAACTCGCCATATATTTCCCCTATGGTAGTACCTCTCGTCGGTGAAAATCTGATTCGTCCGCTTTTAAAAAAGTCCCCCAAGATCTTCGGTAAAAGCAAGATAAACTGCACAGCCCTCTTGTGTACTCGTATATCTGAGGAGTCAAAGGAATCCCAGGAAAGCAAGCAGCCGAGAAGGAATAAAGCACGTCAGATGACCGTGGACGTTTTGGTTTCTCCCCCTCAGAGAGACAAGCCACATGCGTTTCCGCGTTTGCTCATTTCCTAAAGTGGTAAAAAGACAAAAGGGAAAGGGGGGTTTTTTTTGGCGTTGCTGCTTGTAGCCGAATGAGACTCGACGGGGACATATGCGGAGACTTTCATCATTTAAGCCCATTTCTCGTGTTACAGACTCAAGTAAACACGCCAGTACATGTTTGGTTTCGAAAAGAAGAAAAGAGTATAGATGATCATTATGTATTATTATAGCTGATTTTTTATACTCTACTCGAATAGTATTGACGTTCAACGTTGATGTAGACGGTATAACGTCTTGTGTTGCACAGACTACATGTACCCAAGGTGTTTCTACTATACGCCACCACTTACACTATAACGGTATGTGCAAGAATTCAGCATACAGGGACAGCTTTCCGTTGCCAAATCATTCTCATTCTTGCATTAATAGCAATGAATCCTTCTGCGATATGCCTTCATCTCTCTCAGCATCAAAAGGGTGCTAATCAACCCCCCCAGTAACCTCCAGCGCCTGGCGGTTGTCGGCTATTAGCAGTCCACCTACAGTGAGAGGGTACACAGTACACAAAGGTGCTTGTCCGCACGCCCCTCCCAACCTACTCACAACCACAGCAAGGCAGGCTATTCAACAAAATAAATAAAAAATTAAATTCAAGCCAAAAAAAAAAAAAATAAACCCAGAGAATAATAAACAGAAAAAAACAATGATACTAATAAAACCCTCACCCTCACCCTCGCCATAAAAAAAGAAAAAGAACATCAATACAAACATATTCCCACACACCTATACCCCCTCCCCAGACATCAAAAAGAAACAAGGGGGGAGTGTCTCTGTACATCCACCTTCCTTTTTTCGTATTACCCAGTGTGAATTACTTCCGCAATTGTCGCACACAATGAAAATGGCACAACAAGGACAAAGGATCCCCCCCATGATGGGGGACATCTTTCAATGCGGACAAGCGCCGGATTTTGCAAGAGGGGGGTGGTTACGGATTTGCAAAATGCAAATGCAAGGGGGGAGGGCGTGGGAGAGGATTCTGCTCTTTTCGCTAATACAAGCACAGCAAGATGAGAAAAAAACCTAGAACTTTCCAGGTTGCTCGCTACAAATAGAATTGAGCCTTTCTCGGCTTAACGTCAGGTTGTTTGCAGGGCTCTCTTGCTTGGCTGGCGAAGGATTTCGTCCAGGTCAAAAGATAAAAGAAAAGGAGATGAGTCAAAATGCCGAACAAAGACCGTCGCCGTATGCGCAGGAGATGTGACCGGACTTGTTCTTTTTTTTTCTGTTTAGAAGCAGGATTCCATGCAAGGATCAAAAAATAAAATCAGCGCCCGGCTTCCTTTCCGCTGGCCGATGCGCTACGGAACAGACATGGTCTTGTATTAGCCTGGGGGATTTGCGTAGCGTACATGTAGCGTATCGTACGGAGAAACCGCACTGCAATAGCAACATATCCATACCTTAGTAGCATCAAACGAACTCTTTTGTTGCCTCATCACAGGGATGGAACAATGAACCGCTTATTTTGTCGCCATTCTGAAGATTGGGGAGATTGGGGGAGACTGGACGAGGGCCTTGCTGAGTGACAAAAACAAGTCGAGCTGGCCGAATGCAACATTCAAGGCACCAAAAGGCACCATCTAGGCACGGCCACATGTCACACAGGCCATGCAAGTTATCGTCAAGGTACCCAGTCAGTTCATCTGCCTAATCTGTCCTCGCACGGACGGCGGCGGCGCAGATCCGTACAACCGCGGATATAGAGCCAGTATAGCGTCAGATTCGTGCTAATCTCCCCAGGCGTCACGGATCCCATGGCATATCGATCCATTCATTCCAACACTTCGTCGCGTCGTAAAGGCTCTCGTCATTCCTTTAGTGACAAATGACGTCCCCGCCAGAATTTCCACTTCAGGCGACTTCCGGTTGGCACTCGTTCATTGGCGGCGATGCAGATGAGCTTGCGCCGACAACATCGCTTGCGAAGCGGATTATTGCCGAGCTCAAATCGTCGGCTTGCCGGTGACATGCAGGGCGCATACCGTATGGACAGCTGCAGCGCAAATGGGCCAGCTTTGGTTTGGTTTGGAAAAGGGATGCTTTGAAATCCAATTGCGCCTCCGAGTTCAGCTTGTCTTCTCGCAGTGCTGGCTGCATACCATACCGTACAACAGAGTGGATCGTCGACATTCAACAGCTCAACTGTCGATTTCGATTTTGGACCGCCATCTGCTCTGCGCAAATCTCAGCACATCGCACCATTCTTCGACCAGCCTCGGCACCTCGTCGCTACCCGGGGCCACTCACACCAAAGCTCCCCCAAAACAACTCCCGAACAGCAGCGGCACAGTCGGGGTAGGCTGCAGATGCCATGCCAGGTCACTGCAGCCTGCTCCTGTCTGCCCTTTTTTACCTTTTCTTCCGATGGCCCTGTACTGTAGCATTCGCTCGCCTGCGTTCATCCGACATTGCCACTTTTATACGTTTGCCTGGTCCTGCTTCTAGGGCAATTGCTCCGTAGTGTAAACGGCATGGATGCGTTGCCGGCACTTTCGCGTCTGTCGCACGTACCACCAAACTTTGTCATGCGGCCGGCCGCTCTCCATCTTCAGCCTTCGGCACGGGCTCTGTGCCAAATTCGAAAGCTGCCTGCTCGTCACGTAGCACATGGTACACGCATGCTTGCATCATTCCTGCGAATATGCAGGTGGATAAACTGGCCTGACTCTTTCGCTGACCTCGCGGTCCCCGCCCACATGTACTCTTGCATGTCGCCGTGCTTGTACTCGTCGTACGCGGCCACAAATGGACAGGTGGACAGATTGACAAGTTAGTCTTGCCGGCCGGTGTTGCGTAGGACCATCTTGGTCGATGGAGCGCTACTGTACTGTACTCCGTCCAGGATGACACGGGCTCCGCATTGCGACCCCGTAGATCGACCGGCCGGGGCGCGCCGTTAACAGGAGCAAGACGCACGGCCGCCAGCCGAAGTGCCCATTTTGCCCTCCGAATGCGTCATGCCGCCGCCAAACCTTGGTTTCTCGTGCTCGCTCGAGGGGGATGAAGCGCAGAGCCAAGGGGGAAGGGAAAGCGAGAGACGAGGGGAGAAGGGCAGCCCCCCCTTGCTCCCAGCCAGTCATGCCCTCCAATCGTTGTCCCTTGTTTTTGCTGCTTCATGGGAGGCGTGGACCCCAAATTGCGAATCCACTTTGCACCGCGTCATTTTCCAGACTGTCGGGTCGGAGGGGCGGTGGACGAGGCATGGGTGTTCCGTACAGTGCGGGTGCCGTCATCCGCGAAACCCGCCCGAAAATGCAGGCAAAAGACGGACGAGAGAGAAAAAGAATGCCAGCAGCAAAGGGGACAAGGCCTTCGGAGTGGCAACGCGCATCGAGGACACTCGCTCGTGCAAGTACAAGTAGCACTGCAGCGTCCGAGTCCACCATCTTGCGGCGGCTAAAGGCCTGCGGACCCGTTGGCAGATCGACCTGGTGTCCTAGCGAGCGGCATCGATGACTCGGAATCGCATCTCCGCCCCAACTTTGTGGGCGTATCTGGCACCACATCTCTCTGTACAGTATCCTCGTGCCATGCCATGCGCCGTGAGTGCCAGGAGTGGCCGGGTTTCTCGTAACGTGACAAATGAAGAGCAAAAGGATTGCGAGTGGTGACTCCAAGAACCGGGGCCGGCCGTCTTTGTCGCCCCAGATTCCGGGTTCGAGCAGAGCAGCAGTTCTTCCTCCGCTTAGCGCATCTGAACAGGCCATCCATGCTTCTCAAGCCCGGACCCAGCCCCAGCTGTTCCTGAGCTCACTGCCCCCGGCCAGCGCCCAGGGACTGCCACTGCTGAACCTGGAGGTCTACAGCGATCGTAGCAGGTCCAGTTCCTAAGCGATGCGATTCCAGGCCCTCCATGTGCTGACCACCCGCTCGGCGAACCATCTCGCATTTCACATTGACATGTCGTGATGAGCTGAACAGAGCACCGCGCGGACGCCGGAATCGCTTTGCCTGGGGTATCCTTTGTGTTGCTCCGCCCCGGCTGTTATATCCGGAATGCTACGCAAGTAGGATCACGTCTCGTCTCTGGCAGGGCTTTCTGTCCACCTGCTGGCGCCATTTCCCCCCGAAGAGGAAAAGGAGGAAGAGACGCACAACGTACCACCATTCAGCACATCAACCTGACGCAGAAACGGCACAATCCAAGTCTGGGGCGAGAGTGTGTCATTGCCCATGGAGTCGAGGATGAAGAAAAGCAACAAGGTAGCATGGAGCACAAGCACAGTAGGCGACGCGAGCAGGCCAAGGGGAAACACGGGATGTGCGAGAGAGAGAGAGAGAGAGAGAGAGAGAGCCGCGGCCTGAAGAATCAAAACAGACTCGTTCTCGTACTGTGCAAACGGGGGGTTAGGGGGGGCAGGCGGCATGGTTATGTTGTGTTTGGCTGGGCGCTGGGCAGGCACATGTGCACGTTCTGCATGTGCAAAGTACTACCTGATACAGTGCGCAAAAGCGGGGCCATGGGCAGCTGGCGGACTGTGCAGCTGAATGGCGGCCCGCCGTAGCAGCCGCGAGACACCCCAACTGGGCGAATAAAAGGCCAAAGACACTGAAACAAATCAAGACGCCTCAGCGGCAGGGAACACAAAACAAACCATCCGCTCCATCTCAGCCGCAGAGGAAAAAGCAAAGAAAAGCAATGCTCGCCCTTTTCTTTCCTTCTTTCTTCTGGCTTGGCTTCTGCTCCCTCCCATCCCTTGCCGTCACCTCTCCCTTCCCCCCCTCGTACTGTGTGCAGTACCAGTACTCTGTACAGACACATGCGGCGGCGACACGTCCTTCTCACCTCCCCCCCCCCCCCCCCCTCGTCGTCCTTTTGCCCCCTTCCAGGGTTCGTGATGCAGCCTCTTCTGCGACAGGCAAGGCGCAAACCCGACAGTTGGGAACTGGTGGTGTGGTCTCGTCGCGAATTGGCCGGCCAGCCCGCAGCTGCATGCCTGCCTGCCTGACGGTGTCCGCCCGGCGCCTCTCCAACGCCATGAATGGACGAGATGCCTTGCCATCTCACCAAGGCCCTGCAAGTTCCAACATGCTGCAACCTGGTCGGCCCCCCTCCCTTGCGTTTTTTCTTCTTTTTTCGCTCTCCTCTGCTGTTTTATGTTTGGAGGGCGTGGCTCGCACAGAGGGGGGAAGGGGAAAAACAAAAGGGCCTGGTGACGGCGGCGCTGCGGGCACAACAGAACAGGCGATATCGTCGTCGCCCTTCTCGAATGTGCGTGACCGGGGTGTCGAGGAAGAGCCGCGTGGTTTGTTGCAGGAGGGGGTGATGAACGGCGAGAGATAAGGTATTGCGCCGGGTTCCCGTTGTCAGCGCACAGTGTATTATACACAGTGTGTATCAAGACCTGTACAGTATACTCGTACTGATGAAGCGCTCGTTCTTTGCTCGGGCTTCGTCCTCCGCCGTTTCAAGGTGCTCAACGGCGGCCACGTATGTAGGAGCATCCCCGCTGGCTAGCATGCGCTTCAAGTCTGTCATCTGCAGCGACAATGCCACACCCGCATGCGGCCCACAAGTTCGCCTTCAAACAGCGCTGCCTTGTACACGTTCCTCCATACAGGTAGCACAAGGTTGCAGGTACAGGTACAGGTACAGGTACGAGTAGATGCGGTAAGCCATCGAGTGACTCCAACAGTACTCAGTACTAACCTACTATACTCAGCCGCTCTCTAACGCCGATTGCGTTAACACCGACACTGATAGTACCACCCATTAGAGGTAGTACTACTGTACCAGGTAGGTAGTCAGGTATCTTGCAAAAGTCATCTCACATCTTCTCAATCAATAGTGGCATTGAAGCGTAAAGGTTTGTATTTATTAATCATCTATACAATTGTTTATTCTGTCCGTGGTCCGAGTGCCCTTGGGCAAGGCAACACAAAGCCAGTGAGCCAACATGATGCATCAATGCATATCGTGAGACTGTATCCATCTTGAGCCGTCCCGAGTTCCCCCCCCCCCCCCAAAGTCCCTAGTTCGACCGCCAATGAGATAAAGGAAAGAATGAAGAGACAAAAGAGACAGAATGAGAAATTAATGGTGTCAGATGATGATGAGTAGAAAACAAGAGGAAACCAGAAAAATGTACGCAAAGACAATAAAAGACAAGTCTGAAAACTAAACACGTGGGTAATTCAAAGGGAGCGATGATTCTTCGTCGAGAAGATGACAGCATTCTAAGCAATGAAAACAAAAGAAGCGTCGAGGGTATCCCCATGCCAACCCTCCAGCCAAGCCATCCCGTCCATCCAATGCATGCGGTCCCATGCCGCCGACAATGCCGTGTCAATTTGCAAAGCCATACAAGAGCCCGCTTCAAGGTGCCTTTGGGGCTGGATGGTACACTGGCACTGGTCGGATCCCGATGGCATGGCCGTTGGTGTTGCTCTGTACTCGCGCCATGTGCTCTCCTCCGGACGAGACCAGGGTGTCTGGCTCCATCTTCATTGGAGCCCGGTTCTCCCACAGGGGCGAATCCATCATTTCGCCGTTGACAGAGGCCATGTCTTCGTCCCAGCGGTCTCGTCGTCCGTACACTTGGTTAATCACATCGTCCTCGTTGTGGGGCGTCTGGGAAATTCGCAGCATCTCGTCGCTCACGGGGACGTCGCCACCCGGTTCTCCTCGGCCGGTTGACCGTTTCTTAACAATGGTCTTGCGGCGGCGACGGATGCACTCGTCAAAGCCATCAATGTATACGGCCTCCTCCCACTTCAGGTCGTTGACAACCTTGGCCTCAATGTCGCTGGCGCTCAGCAGCATGTTCCGGGAGCCACCCATCTCATGGAAGTGGTTAAGCATGGTTTGATATCTCTCCTTCTCGGTCTTCTTCCAAGCGGCCTGTAGTATCCTTACCTATTTGGTGAAACGCAGTAGTTAGCATTGCCTGCATTTTCAAAGGCGGTGGTGTGGTGTGTGGTAGAGTTGTACTTACATCTTCGGGAAGCCAATCGTAGTACTTGGACCGACCCCGTTTGAATTTCATTTGGAGCATTTCTTTGCCGTGCTTCTTCTTGAACTTTTTCTCAAAGTCGCCCTGGATGCTGTCCCACATGTCCTGTCCCCTCTGGGAGCGGTGGCGCCACCTCGACTCGAAGATGCAGCGCTCTTCTTCGGGGCACCCCTTTTTGATGGGAGGTGGGATTTCTTGGCCATAGCAGTTCTTGTGTTCATCGCCAGGATCGACCTGGCTACGAAGAGAAGCGCCCCCCCTCTTAGACGACCTCAACTTCTTCACTCGTGTGCTGCCCTGGGTTGCAGAGCGTCGACGAGGAGAGCCACTAGAGGAGCGTCGAACGGTCTCGGCACGACTGGCGTAGCTGCGGTCATCTGTGCTGGCCCGTCGGATGTTGGCAAAGTGCGATGAGTGAGGCTGCACGAGTAGAGATGCTGGGTGGGAGCCGTCACGGGGGTGCGGTTCCATGGGCATATGACGAGGTTCACGTATCATCATGGAGGTTTGGTTGCCCATCTCCATGGGAACGTAGTATGAGGGCTGTCCCTGGTTGTGCATTGACTGCGTATCCGGGCCTTCAGACACGCTGAAGGACCCGAAGTAGGGCTCTGTGGGCGGGTTGGGCGTGCGGCGGTCTTCAGGCATGTAGAAGTCCGATGCCACCGGCACCTGGTTATTCATGGGCGAGCCATTCGGCGCGTTTTGGTTGTGCATGTCGAACTGGTTGTTCCACGGCTGGTGATACATCTTGGAGCTCCCCGGCGGGGTTGGCACTTGGGTATAAGGGGTGCTCGGGGGAGGAGGATACTGCGGTGCCAACTTGCGGATCTGATGGAGTGGGGGAGAGCCGGTCGTGGAGATGGGAGTGAGAAGGCTAGAGTCGCACGGGGCAGGGATGTTGAAGGAAGAGACCTGCGAAAATGGACGATTGGTAAGCTTACAACCCTGGCCGGAGCTGTGAGGGAAGAGCAGACGGAGAAACGGGACGGCAAAGGATCAAGCAATGATCTCTTTGGAGGGGTTCGCTGTGTGAAAAGGGAAAGGGCTTGCAAGACTCACTGCTGAGAAAGGGGCCACTTCCGGATAGGCTGAAGTGCCTGCAGGCGCGATGGATCTGGCCTCAGACAAGCCGTGAGATGCTGCCAGGTCACCTGTGTGTGGTAAACCTGCAGGAATATACTGTTGTTGCTCTACCATGTTCATGCAAGCGGCACGTTGGATAAGGCTCCTTGGGCGTTTAAAAAAACACAGCCAAGGTCTCTCTTTGGTTGGCTAGCTGCAGAGCTTGCGAAGCAGACGTTGTCAAGAGTCAATTCTCTGCGATGGCGCAAAAGGTGATAGCTGACTGAAGGTGTCTAGACGACTACCTATGCTTTGAACGGTCTGCGAAGTGGGGGGGGGGGGGGGGGGGGAAGAAGGGAATTGACAACCAAAATGAGAAGAAAATGCTGAAAGGATATGCGACTTATATACGACTTGCAAGAAGAAGCAAGTTGTCGCTTCAAGTCCGTAACGCGGCCCGTTTATGTACTTGTGAGAGGGCGATTGGAGATGAAGGAGTGGTGGGCAGTTGTGCAATGGCAATGAGCCGCCCAAGGGTTGAGGAATTCTGCCTACCTTGGCCGCGGCCGTGGTTGGTCAATGGTATAACGATAAAGTTGGAGATGATGGAGCTGGGGAAGCCAGGACAGGTGCAGAAACGGCAGATGAAGGAGAGAGCCTTGTGAGGAAGTCGGAAACAGGAAGAGATGGCAAGACTCTTTGTATAAATGGAGGCTCAGATCAAGAGCCGGGTGAGCTCTCCAAGGTTGCAGAGTCGACAAGCACGGGAATCAGTACAAGTACATACGAGCCGTGGCCTAGTGCGTGCTACCTGGCGCAGGGATCAAGCATGAGATCCTGGTTGACCAGGGGGTTCGGGGAGTGTGGTTAGAGTGGTATGGCTTGGACCAGGGTCCCCGGCCGATACGAACAGGGCTGGCGGTGGTTAATGTACATACAGTGGGAGACACTGTTGTGCATGAGATAGCCGCCGAGGCGTGCGGAACTGGAGATGGCTCCAGGCCATGTTGGAGAAACAGTAGGGGCGTGCGCCGACGTTCGTTCTCCAAGAGACTCCGTGTGCCTCTGCATCGAGTGCGACGAGTGTAAAATCAAGCGTATACGGTGGACACATGACAATAGCAAGGTAATAAGCAGCCAATTCCGAGGAGATGAAGGTAGAGAACAATCAATAGCAGCGGCGGGGACACTAGACAGTGATGAATTCGCCATCTCCCGGGCTGGCGATCAGCGAGCACGGGCAAGTGCGAGTAATTGCCAATATGCCCCGATATCAGACTTAATTTGCTGCTTCTGGCTGCATCATGGCCGCGGGTCACAGCGCTTGGATGACGGAAGCTTGCGTGTCTGGCGCAGCAAAAACCACACAAGACGAAAGGGGGCCGTGAGGGGTAATGCCAGATGATGCTGCACAGATTTATCCACCTAGGCAGGCAGATATTCGTGCAAAGGGTGTTTTGGGCAGCTGAGACGAGGAAGAAGCACTCCAAGGTGCCACTGACGTATCCGGCAAGTCGTCTCCAATCCCAATACACCCGGTCAAGGTGTACTGTAATCCCAACAGCTCAAGAAGATTTTGCAACCATATGGTTCCTGCAGAAGCTGACTCGTATCCGGCCTCCGAGAACAGGTTCATCAGCGTTCGACTGCATCACCAATACGTGTAGAAGCTGACTGGATGAGGTGTCATCAGGCACGCCAAAGTATAGCAGCGAGAGATGACAGCCTCGTCTGTCCCAAGTTAGGACCCCGACGCAGCCGGCGGGAAGTAAAAGACAAGTTAATCTCTCCGAAATCTTGGCAGGACTGAAAAGAGGCGGCAAAGAAGATTCGAAATGACGGCGGGGGAAGATCGTATCCAAGGCAGAGGCAGCCGCCACGGGGTGACGAGCTGGAGGCAGACTGCTGGAGAGGTGTGCGTACACGTACGAGTAGGTTCTTCGTGGGCTGGCAGATCAAGCCCCGGCATACGAGTAGGGTAGAGAGCAGCGCACCACATCAGAGCAAAGGAGAGACACATCGATTGCCGAGATCGTACTAGCCTAGCGAGCACTCTGTTAGCATGAATGTGACAGATGGAGAGAAAATGAGGGAGCCTCAATAGCTTGGAGTGGCAGAGATCAGGCTCCGCTTGCGGGTGGAGAATTGGAAATCAGAATTCAGGCGATGTTTAGGGCTGGTTTGTTTTGGCTGAAGTGTCGTCCTCAACAGGGCTAGCGCCCTATCTCTCACAAATGGACGCAAATGGTTCAAGGGTCTCTGGTCT